AACATCTTAACCATAACAGTATCATTCAGATTAATACCAATTTACTTTCAATGGTATACTAAAACTTTTCTCCTGCGTATCTCTATTCTGCCTTTCCTTTTTGCAATTATTGTCACCCAAAGTACATTTTTTATATGTTGTATGCCTAAACACAGAGATTCATAGTTATTACTTTATGCGGTGGTCTTGAAATCATATTGGAGAAAAAAAGAGTTAACATAATTTCTTAGTGGGAAACACTAGACTGAAACTATGCTAGAAATTAAAAGAAAGTTTTTATCGAAGGAATAAAATCATTTTGATATGGGGAGACATTTATAGATATCCATACAATATGTTGCAATGCTCCAAATCGTATGGAGAACAGTAAGGATTTTAAAAGGTATAACAACAGAAGATTTGTGCTAGCAGGCACATAGGAGAGAGAAGCAGCTGCACAAAAGTTACAAAGGACTTACTGAACTGTAAGCTTAAACTATATCAATAAGCTCATTTGTTGCTTTCTGAGGTTGTTACATTCTGAGAGTTTAACAGAACATTCTGTTAGGGGCTAATTTTCTGTCACTTCCAGAGTCTGTCTCTTTATCTCCTCAAATTTAGTTTCTACTTTAGTTACAGGTGCTCTGGTAGATAGTGCCTAAGGTATTTGACTGCTAACCAGAAGGCTGGCAGTTCAAACCCACCAGCCACTCCTCGGAAGGAAGATTGGGCAGTCTACTTCTGTAGTGATACTGCCTTGGAAACCCAAGGAGGGGTCTCTGTGAGTCGGATCCAACTTGATGGCAATGAGTTTCTTTTTTTTGGTTTGAATAGGAGCTCTGGTGGTATTGTGATTAAGGCATTTGGGTGCTAACCAAAACTCAGTGATTCAAACCCACCAGCCACTCCACAGAAGAAGGATGGGGCAGTCTGCTTCTGTAAAGATTTACAGCCATGAGAACCCGTGGAGGTCACTATGAGTTGGAATTGACTCGACGGCAGTAAGGTGTTTTTGTTTGTTTGTTTGAGTTAATAGGAACACAGTAGAATGTCCCAGTGAGTAATATTTTATTTTGGAAGTAAGACTTGATAATATATTTATCTTAGCTGCAAGGTCTAACTTCATTTAACATTATCAGTTATAGTTCTCATCCCCCTGCTGACCAGAGTGCCTTCTCTGGGACCATCTTCACAAACATTCTTAACAGACACTGAGTAACTCTTTTACCAGTTAGAAATCCTGACTTCTGCCTTCTTGTTTTTCAAACAGTAAAACTGTAACAAAAAGGCTGTGAATGGTTCTTTTAGAAAAGTATAAATGAAAATCTGAGTTAAATTCAAAATGGAGTTTTAATTTAGGTCTGAAGTCACCCATTTCAGATATGTCATACCTCAGTTTTTTTTTTAAGATTCACATCAACAGTACTTCTGTGGTTACATGTGTAGTTGCTTTCACTTATATAATGTTCTTTATTTCTTCCTGTGAATTTCAGTTGTTGTCTAATGCCTCTTCATTTCAGCCTGAAGGATTCCCTTAATGTTTCTAGTAGGTCAAGGATGCTAGAGACAGATTGTGTCAGTTTTTCCTTATCTGGAAATGTCTTAATTTCATTGTCATTTATGAAGATATCTTTGCTGGATATTGAAATCGTAGTTGATAGGCTTTTTCTTTCAGTTTGAATATGTCAACCCACTGTCTACTGCTTCCATGGTTTTTGATGAGAAATAAGCTGTTACTCTTATTTAAGATCCTTTGTAAATAACAAGTAACTTCTCTTTAGCTGCTTTCAAGATTCATCTTTTGTCTTGATTTCAACAGTATGATTATGAGGTGTCTAAGTCTTTGAGGTTATACTACTGCGAGTTCATTGATATTCTTAGATGTGTAAATTGTTTTTCATTGTATTTGGGAAGTGTCAGCCATTATTTGTTCAAATATTCTTTCTTTCTTCTCCTTTTAGGACTCCCATGATGTGTACATTCCTGCACTTGAGGCTTTGTTCATTTTTCTTCATTCTTTTTTTCTTTCTGTTCCTCGGATTGGTTAATCTCAATGAATTTATAGTCAAGTGTGCTGATTCTTTCTGCTGCCTGCTCATATCTGATATTGATTCCCATTAATTAATTTTTCATTTTTATTATTGTCATTTTCTACTCTTGAATTTTTGATTGGTTCTAGTTTCAGAATTTTTCTCTTTATTGGTATTTTTTATTTGATAAGACATTGTTATACTTTCCTTCAGTTCTTTAGATATAGTTTCCTTTAGTTATTTGAACATATTTAAAATACCTGATTTAAAGTCTTTGCCTGACCTTCTTCAGGGACAGTTTCATAAATAATTTCTTTTTTTCATGTGTATGGCCCATACTTTCTTGTTTGTTTGCATGTCTCATATTTTTTTGTTAAAAAATGGACATTTTAAATAAAACTCTGGAAATCAGAATCTCTCCCTCTCTGCAAGAGTCCTTCTTGTTATTTGTTTAGTCACTGTCTTGAACTAATTCTGTAGCATCTTTACTCTTCGTCATGTGTGGGTATAGATGTTTGCTTAGATTAGTGAACAGCCAATAAGTAGACAGAGATTTCCTTAAGTGCCCGTAACCAATAAATCTCCTAGTTTGTGCCAAAAGGTTCTGTTGGTGTTGGGGCACTCCTCCAGTCGTCATTCTGGGAGTTTACAACTCTGTGTTAGCCTTCACTTTCTTCTTATTCTTACATGGAGTTGTAAGGTTAGTAAGAGGTGATAGTTTAGGGCCTTCTCAGTTCTTTCCTGAGCATGCATACAGTTCTGGGCATGTCCACAGCCTTCTAGAATCCCAGGAATATATCTAAGCTTTTCAAAACCTCTCTGGGCTTCTCATTCTCAGTATTGTCCTTTTAAGCTTTTTGGTTAGTTTATTGTTTGCCTTAGGTTTTCTCAACTGCCTCAGGCAGCCATGATGTTCAAAATTGCCAATTTTTTCTTTTGACTAGCACCTTCTGAAAAAAATTCTTTTTACAGTGGATTGAGCACCAAGTCAGGTCAGATAAAGACCTGTGAGGGGAATCTTTCAACGGAACTAGCAGACAGGTCAGATAATGACAGTTCTCTGGGAATGGGCCTGATCATCTGATGCAGCCTCAACCTTGGGTAGGCACTGTGCCTTGGGTCCCAGGGTTTTGTGACTTAGAAATAAGGGAGTTGGTTCTGGGCAACTTTGGATAGTGCTACTTTTTCCCTCCCACTGCTGTGGTAGCATTCCACAAATGCCCTCAGTTTATGTGTTTCAAGAACTTTCCAAACCTTACAGCTTAATTATTTTGTTCCATGGTGGAGAAAGGCAATGGGAATCTGGGTGGATTTAGGCAGTGACTGTTCTTCCCCTGCCCCAGCCAGCACTGTGAGGGGACAGAGAGATCTTTCTCTAGAATGTCCCCAGTTCCTTCTGTGACATCCAGGGTTCCTGGTGGAAAATCCCATAGGAGGGTGGAAATCCTATGTGGGCAGCCTCCCAGGGACTTCTCACTCACAATGGCCCACAGTTGGCCATTAGCAATTTGTTAAAATTTTTCTAAGTTTATGTACCTATCAGCTTATATCAAGTTCAGTGGTGTCTGCTCCAGGTAAGCAAAGGAACAGGTCCTGAACATTTCATGTTGGTTGTTTACTGTGCAATGTCAGTTCTCTGATGGATTCAAGAAAAGGCATTCATTGATTTTCAGTTTGCCCAGCCTTTTTCATGTTGTAACAGCGTTAATGTTGTTCTTTTCCACTCTCAACATCACTGAACTAAAACCCAAAACCACATATGATTTTAATTTTTTCTAATTTAGCAAGACTTACTCTTTTTTTTTTAATGTTCAAAGTACCAAAAAACAATTTATATTATCCACTGGTTGTCCTATATATGTCAGCTAGTCAAGTTGCTTAATTATATCATTTAAATCTTCTGTATAGTAGCAGTCAGCAGACTTTTTTTTTATAACTGTTAAATCACGGTCTTTGCAGGCTATGTGGGTCATATGTTCTCTGTTGCACCTGGAGTTGTAGTGCTATAGCAGCCATAGATAATACATAAACGGATAAACATGCTATGTTCCAGTGTTTTATTTACAAAAAACAGGTGTTGGGTTGAGTTTACCTTTTTGGCTGAAGTTTGCTGATTTGTTCTGAATCTCTATTAATTTTTAAATCTGCTTTTCCTATAAGTTACCACAGGAGAATTGTGTTAAAATCCCAATAATTGTAGAGTTGTCTCTCATTTCTTATATTTGCTTATGTATTTGAATTGTGCTTTCATGTGCTTACAAATTTACTCAAAAGAACGTTTATATAAACTATCTTTCATAATTCTTTCTTACCTTAAAATCTGTTCTTTTTGGCAGTAATATAATCACGTTACTTTCTTTGGATTAGTATTTTCATTCTTTTACTTAAAATTTACATATATTTTATGTATGAAATGTGGGTTTTATTTTTAATTGTTTATATGCAGTAAAACTATATTTCCTTTAACTAGATTGTTCAGTCCAGGATTTAGTATAAATTTTTCTATAAAGAGTCAAGTAGTTAGTTAATTTATCATTGAAGGATCCACAGAGTGATGGAAATACTCATCTCTGTTGCTTTAGTGTAAAAGCCATTGACAATACATAAATGACTAGAGGTGGCTGTGTCCTAGTAAAAACAGCAGCAAGCTAGATTTGCCCACAGGTCATAGTTTGCTGACCCGTGTCCTAAAATATGCACAGATACTCTGTTGGGGTGTAGGATGAAAACTGTGGAAAGCTTATTTACATATTTTATCTTTGCTAAAAAATTTTTTTAAGCAAAAGTTTTACTAATATATTTATTGATAGTATATGCATATAACTCAAATTATGTTATAAACATTTTTACTGATTGAGTACTTTCATAGTGTAAAATAAAATTAGGTCCAAAATAGGCATTCTTTATATCATTTGTTTACAGAAAACATGATAAGAATAGTTTTCATAAGTATTTTCTGTCACCTAATTAAGTAGAAATATGCTCTTGCAGGCATCAGTGTCATTCAAGGACGTGACTGTGGAGCTCACCCAGGAGGAGTGGCAGCACATGGGCCCTGCTCAGAGGACCCTGTACAGAGACGTGATGCTGGAGAACTACAGCCACCTTGTCTCAGTGGGTGAGCATATAACCATAACTTACCATGTAACTCTTTACATAAATCATTTCCCTTTTAATTGCCATAAATATGAATATTTAGTTTGATGTTTTTAGGCTTTTCCTTCAGGAGACTAAAGTAACTGAATCCTTTTGAGAACTAGGCAATGCCCTGGTGAGAAGTTCAAGTAAGCACCTTCAGGATGCTGCTTCTGAAAGTATATCTTACACTTTTGATGACCAACAGCTCATTTATCTTGCCTCATTCATCAGTTATCCTCTGTTTTTAGGCTACTGCATTTTCAAACCAGAAGTGATCTTCAAGTTGGAGCAAGGAGAAGAACCTTGGTTCTTAGAGGAGGAATTCTCTAGCCAGAGATACCCAGGTGAGTTTCTGAGCACTGGCAGACAGAATCCTGCAACAGTGTAGGGGGATAGTTAGACTTCTGAAGGTTAGCTTAGTGGTAAACTTTATTGTTTTTCAAGACTTACTGAAAGGCCCAAAGACACTAAAACCAGCAATCAAAAGTAAAAGATTAATTAACTTGATTAAATTAAAATTAAAACTTTGTCCATCAAAGACCATTAAAAGACTGAAAAGGCAAGCTACAATGTGGTGTAATATATATCCAGTACAAATAACCTAGAAAGGATAAACATCCTGAAAATATAAAGAACTTTTGCAAGTTAGTATGGAAAACAGGCAAAAAAGGGCAAAAGATGTTGAATAGGAACTTTGAAAGAAATCCAAATGATCAGTAAACCTTTGGAAATGTATTCAACCTCAGTTTTCAGAGAAATGCAAAATAAAATTATTGTAAGATCCCACTTCACAGGTAGGAGGCAAGATTAACAGATCTGGCAATGTCAATTGTTGGTTAGGATGTGAAATACTGTTGTTGTTGTTATTTGCCGTCAAGTTGGCCCCGACTCATAGCGACCCCTCCTTGGGTTTCCGAGGCAGTATCACTACGGAAGTAGGATTGTGAAATACTGGAGACTGCAAAAATGGCTTGGGAAGCAGCTTCTAATGCCCCTGCCTTCACAAGGGGGAAAGAGGATCCACAACAGCAGCAGCCCAAGGCTGGTTCCTCTGAGGCAGATACCAGACATGCTGCCACCTTCCAACATTTTTAGCAATTCTGTCACCAACCGTCCTTCCCACAGCACTCTATCTACTTCACTGCTGGGTTTGATAATTCGTTTTAATGGCCTCATAGAACTCACAGACAATACTCACAATTATGGGCTTATTTGGGAAATAACAGGTTCTGGTGACTTAGTGCCTAAACCATTTGACTGCTAACCAGAAGACTGGTGGTTCAAACCCACCAGCCACTCCTTCCTTGGCAGGAAGATTGGGCAATCTACTTCCATAGGGAAACTACCTAAGAAACCCAAGAAGGAGTCGCTATGAGTTGAATCGACTCGATGGCAGAGAGTTTGAGTTTTTTTGGAACAGGTTACAATACAGGTTCAGGACCACTCAGGATACAATTCTTTGATCAGGACAGCTTCTCTTCAGCCATGCCCATAGGCACACCTCTCTTTAGCTCTTGGCCCCTTGGCCTGGCCTCTACTCTGCTGCAGCAGGTGTTACAGCACTATTTCAGCTCTGCCAATAGGTACCCAGAGAAGCACTTGCTCAACCAGCAAGCCTCCTGCCCAGAGGCACTCAGCTTTGTTGTTGCATGGACTGGGAAGCCCACCTCTTTGTGTCATGCCAGTCTTAGTTCTGCTGCTGCAGTTTCTCTGCCTTTGTCTCTTGTCATCTCTCACCATCTCCAGTGCCTCTAACTTGTCTCAGCAGTGCCTCTCTCTGTCTCTTTGGTTGAGGAGGTTCAGGGTGGGGATCTTGAGTCCAAAGGACATGCTCCCTCCTGGATCTTCTTCCCTGATGGTTGTGAGATCCTCCTTCTCTGCCTCTGGGAGGGTTCATTTAAGCCTAGCGGATGGCAAAATTGACCAATCCCCATGTTAGGATTCTATATACTTTTTTTCTATGGTCCCACCCCCACAAGGGTACTTTATTTACATTATTAGCACTGTCCAATGCCCTTGGGCCACAAGCACCTAACATTTGTATATTCCTACCCAGTCATCTGGTGGAAGCCACAAAGACTGTGGCTAGAAGAGCCATATTAAGTAATTTACTGCACCACAGGCCACCCCCTGACTCTTCTAGACATTGGCCCTTTCATACATGAAAGATTAACTTCCCCTTCCCAGTAATTTTAAGTGTAAGCACACCAATGAAAGCATATAAGCCACTTCATGCTCATCTCTCCCCATTTTAGATAGCCAATTTCTGAAATGCCCATGCCTATCAAACTAGTCCTCTGAGACAAGCATGTTCTTTTCTCTGAAGAATCTTTGTTCAGGTTGGAACTTTGTGCATCTGCACCCTTAAGCAGAGAATCCAGTCCAGAGCAAGTCATAAATTGCAGCAGTTTTTACCAGCTCACAGTGTCAAACATCTTTCTTTTCATTTGATTGGGTTCTGGTCAGCTCATCCCTATCCATCCAAGCTAGGTCAGTGGGTACCACTGTAATCTTGGGAGTTCACACACCTCCCTGTACTTCAGACCAGCCAGCCCTTTCTCTCTCTTTCTCTTATCCCTAGCGCACATGGGCTAGGTCAGCACCTTTAAGCTCAGGAGTCCACACAACTCCTTGCAGTTCATCCAACTCTTCCTCTCTTATCCCTCGCCTCCATGGGCTAGGTCAACAGATGCCAACCTCAGCTCATTTCTTCATTGCTGCACCACCCCCACTTCCATTCATCAAGTGGACCCAGGTGTGACAGGAGCAAGTAAGTATACCAGGCTGTTTACTCGCCAGCTCTGTTTAACTTCCATCCTGGAAGGGGTTCTTCTGATGGGCCATCACTTTTTCCTGCTTCCAAAGACAAACCATTTGCTCAAAATTCAAAAAGCAAAATAGTCTTTTCTTTTTTTCCTTCAGGTCTTCTGTCAAATGCAGATCTCTTCTCACAGCAATTCTGGGTTGGTCAGAATATCTTTTCAAATGCAAATTTCCTAGATGGGGCTCAGGTTTTTTACCTAAGCCCCCAATAATCTATACACAGGGCTACAGGCTTGAACCAGAAAAGCCTGTGTTTCTTCTGGGCAGATTCTGTTTCCCCTTTTTAGCATATCCAGTCAAGTATTGGCTGACTTTGGAGTTACATACTCTGTTAATGCATACCTAAATCTTTCTATCATTAAACTAAGTAAGAGAAATATTCAGTATCCATTGTATGTTCAGATAAACACATAACCCTTTTTAAAAACTTGCCAATTTCATTTTCTCCACACTTTGAATATATTCCTATCATTTGCATATGCCCTTGGGTCTCTGGCTTGGTGGAACCAGGAGACTCTGGCCTACTATCAGTCATCTCTTTCAATCAGCCTGGCTATTGCCCCAAGTCATTCCATGTGTGGCTACCTTCCCCATAGCTGCAGCATATCTCTTACATTCCTTTCAGCTATTACAGGCAACAACAACCCAAGTAAGCAACTAAAAATCAAAAGTTTCACTTACCATGTGTTCTGGTTACCTAGTGTGCTCTGACAAGAATATATGACGTATGGGATACTTGAACAAACAGAAGTTTATTCTCTTATAATTTGGAGGCTTTAAGTCTGAGTTCAAAGTGCCAAGCTCTAGGGGCTGGGTGAAAGCCCCTCAACCTTGGCTTCAGCTCTGCCTCCTGCTCCCAGCCCACTGAAGCTGGAGACTTTTCTTCACTCAGCTGCTGGCTGCTGGGCTGACAAGCCCAAGGTTGACAAGTAAAAAGACACAGTCCCCATGTTAGCAAACCACACGGCAGGCCATTAATTCAAGTCCATTGAAAGTCCCAAGGTCAGCAGGCTGCTGAATGACACACCTATATGCAGGGTTCAAGCATGCCATAAGCTGGAGACCATTCCCCAAGGCTGCTGCTTATATACAAGAAGCAGACCACATCCCTAAGGCTCACACTCAGCTGCTCACAGTAGATTCCACCATGGAACTGATTACCAGTCTCATCATGGGGAATACTACATCCAGCTGCCCAGCCACCAACCAGGCCTAGCCAAGCTGACACACAAACTTAACTACCACACCATCCTCCTTCCTTCTTTCTCTTACAAAGTCTCAAGCTTCCATGAATCTGGAGCCATTGCTATGAATCCCACTTCTGATGCCAACTACAAAAACAGCGTGGGGTCAGCCCTGACCTCCCCTAACAAGGAACAAGAGGAAAGGAGAATCCAGAATAATATCAACAGCCCAAGGCTGATTCCTGTCAGGCTGAGGGCAGATACGCCACCACCCTCCAACATTTTTATGCATTCTGACACCAACCATCCCTCCCACGGCACTCTACTTCTCTGCTGGGTTCAGTAATTCATTGCAGTGGCCACCACACTGGCCAGATAGTTACTTTGTGGATGTCCCAGCAGTGTAATACTACATTTTACCTGCATACAGGACTTCATACTCTTTGACAATTGAGTAACTTCATTTTCAGTAAGGTAGTAACCAAAACTAAATTTATCTTTGATAAACCATAAAACATTCTCACTTTCTCCACTTCTACTTTAGTTATTCTGTCATTGTTCTGCTTCTATAACTTGCAGTCATAAGAGTTGCTTTAAACCTTTGAATTTTCCATCTTTTTCATCCTCTCTTAATGTTCTCCCCACCTTTTTCATCCTCTTAATGATCTCCCTACATATTCTGTTGCTTTTATTTAGAAAATTGTCTTCTAAATTTCCTCATATTCTCAGTTTCCATAGACATTTCCCAGAACCAGACCCATAGTCTTTCTTAACTTGACTGGTATCATTTCTAATTAGGATTCACTTTTTTTTTTTTTTTTTTTTTTTACATAAACATTCACTTTATCTTGCGCTAGCAAATAAAAGTAAAGTTGTGCTGTCATCTCTTATAATCATGCTCAGCTCTGTTTGTTTGAGTGTCTTGACTCCCATCTATCTGCTGTTCTTCCTTGCATCACATCTTTCATCATTGAATTCTTTTCCTCTCCAAATACTTTATTGAATTAAAAGAATTTAGGACTGTGTCTGTTATCTTGCAAAAGCTTGCTATCATTATTTTGTTATTATACACATTAAATTTTAAGCTCAGTTTCCTACCACCTCAATGACATAATCTTGAATATGTTATTTTACATTTATCTCTCCTGTGTCCAAACTTCTAACCTGCTTAGTAACTACCACAGAAACTAAGACTTGATCATATGCTTTAATATTTTAATATTTGGTAGCATATAGTTAGGGAGCTCTGGTGGCATAGTGCCTAAGGCATTTGACTGCTAACCAGAAGGCTGGCAGTTCAAACCCACCAGTCACTGCTCAGAAGGAAGATTGGGCAATCTACTTCCATAGTGATACTGCCTCAGAAACCTAAGGAGGGGTCACTATGAGTCAGGACCAACTCGATGGCAGTGAATTTTGTTTTGGGAGTTTATATAGTTAGGACAGTGGTTCTCAACCAGGGTTGAATTTGCCCCCTCCACCTAGGACACATTTGCTAAAATCTAGAGACCTTTTTCTGTTTGTTTGTTTTTATTGTGATTTAGGTGAAAGTTTACAGAGCAAATTCAGTCTCATAACATTGACTGCAATTTCTGACAGTGCAACAACTCCCCTTCCACTTCCTCCCCATAGTTACCTCTTCCCAGTGTCCTCCCCTCCATGCACTCCTGCCCCCTGAGCTGTCTCCCTGTGCATACACAGCCCTTCTTTCTCTCACGATTGATCTCTCCAAGGAGTACATCTACCTAATATTCAGCTCATTTGACTGGAAGTCACGGGAGTGGGTTCAGTTCCAGACCTGAAGGACAGCTAGGGACCATAGTAGGGACATTTTTAAGGAGCTCTTTTGGCATAATGGTTAAAACATTTGGCTGCTAACCAAAAGGTCAGTGGTATGGACACACCAGCTGCTCTGTGGGAGAAAGATGAGGCAGTCTACTTCTGTAAATCTTTGCAGCCTCAGTTCTACTCTGCCCTAAAGTGTTTCAGTGAGTTGGAGTTGACTCAGTGGCAGTGGGGTAAAGACATTTTGGATTGCCGTAACTGGGAGAGGGATGCTACTGGCATCTAGTGGGTAGAGGCCAGGGATGCTGCTAAACCTGTTACAGTGCACAAGAAAACCTCCCACAACAAAAAATTATCCAGCTTAAAATGTCAATATTGCTGAGTTGGAGAAACTCGTAAGTGAAGTTTCTTTCCTCAAAAGATTATGATCTACGGAATAAAATGTCCTTTGTTTTACTCTCTTAAAATCTGGTAATTTATATAATACATATATCACAATCTTGTTGTTAACTTGCTGCAAAGTAGGCATTTGAGAAATCTTCATATTTATTCATTCAGAAATCATAATAAGGGAACCCTTTCTTATACACATATATCCAAGTCACAGCCTTGTTAATTCTTACTGATCAGGCTTGATTGGTGTGAGGACAATGAATTTCTGTTTGGGAAAGGTCTCCAGGTAACTTGTGTGCACATGTTTGAACCAGAAGAGCTTAAAGGAAATCAGAGATGTAGTAGCATCTACCAAGAGTCTAGGCTGTAGGAGAATAAAGTTCTCCTAAAATTCTACATTTAATGTGAATATTTGAAATAGAATGAAAAAAGATATCAATTATAAGATAAATCATTCTGTAAGTGAAATGCCCTTTAACTATGGTATGGCATCAGTTATAAGATTAATACTACTTTCAATGATGGCAAATGGTTAAAAAAAATAATGTCTCAAAATATCCGAAATACAATGAGTTAACATTTGTTAAAAAATGAATGGTATATGTTTTTGGGGAGGATGTAGTAGTGGGAGCTCTAGTGGCATAGTGCCTAAGGCATTTGACTGCTAACCAGAAGGCTGGCGGTTCAAACCCACCAGCCACTCCTTGGAAGGAAGACTGGGCAATCTACTTCTACTAGTGATAACGCCTCAGAAACCTAAGGAGGGGTTGCTATGAGTCGAGGCCAACTTGACGGCACATGATAACACAACAACGATCTTTTTTATTTTTTTCTTAAGTGCTGTTTTCAAAGGCATGAGAAAGAACTGTGGAAACAGCAAGGATTAGATGAATTAAATTCTAGAGAGGAGAGGAATATGTGGAGCTGAGCTGAGGGTTGCTTACCAGTGTTGTCCCAGGGCATTGCTACTTAAACACTTGGGTTGAGGATAGGCTGAGGTCTAATACTGGGAGAAAGAGAAGCCAGCAGTGCTGTTAGTCATTATGTGGAGATAGAATTACAAATTGTAAAGTGAGAAACCGCAGATGCATAGCTGGTTTTCTCTACAGGGTGTTTGCCTAGTTTGGGCTGCATGGGAGAAAGGGAACCTAGGGTGAAAACTTCTAAAAGGCAGAGTAAAATCACCTGTTACTTTACTGTGTTTAGGATACAAACAACTACTGGAGTAGAAAACCTCCTTCAAACACTCCGTCTCCCCCACTTAAGAAGTTTTTCAGATGTTGACATTCTGTACATATGGAACCTGAAGGGGATTGGGATGAGAATTTTGAAAGGCATTGTTGATTCTCCCACAGTCTTTCAAAGCTAAGGAAAACAATATGTGCTAGGTTATCAGTCATAAAATTGGCCCACCCATTCTGGAACATTAAGTATGGACTTAAACCTTTTACTAAAGCTCAAAAACTAGTCATGAGTCATCTTCTTCTTTACTTGGCTTGGGTCGATCAGCTGCTCACTTCCTCTCCCTAACAGAGAAATGGGGACCATCCCTGGGGTGAAATACTTATAACATGATGAGGTGCCTCTAAAGTTTTTTTAACAGGATGTCCAGCACATAGTAAAACATTACAAAATATGAAGGAGGGAAAAAATTTATATATAGCAAAAATCAAAGAAAAATTATTAGAAGGTGACTTTCACATGATCCAAATATTAAGTTAGCAGAAAAGAACTTTAACTGTGAGTATTATTTTAAAAAAATAAACAGAAAGGTGAGCAAAGTACATGAAAGAATGGAGAATGTCATCAGAAAATAGGATTTCAGGGTAGGGTGGACTTTTTACACTCCATCTGGGTAGTACAAGTTAGTAACAGTCGAGTATAAAACCAAAACAACCAAACTCACTGCAGTCGAGTCGGATCCAACTCATAGCAGCCCTTCCATGGGTTTCCGAGGCTGTATCATTGTGGAAGTAGATTGCCCAGCCTTCCTTCTGAGGAGTGGCTGGTGGGTTTGAACCGCTGGCCTTCTGGTTAGTAATCAAATGCCTTAGGCACTATGCCACCAGAGCTCCTAACAGTCAAGTATACACGTGAATTTTTATGATAAATAGAAATGCAAAGAGTATTATTAAAAATTTTAAAACCATGTTGTAATTTATGACCCTTTAGATTCTTAAATAGTAATAATTAGTTCTGTGTCAAGGAAAAGACTGGTTTGAGGAGATAAGTAGATAGACTGCACTGTGGAAAGTTAGGATGGGGTAGTCAGGTTCACTTTTTGTACAATTCTGATAGATAACATAAATCAAAGATACCACAGCCAGAATTGACTAGTGAATCTAATTTAGTTGCAAGGATGGATTTTCTTTCATTTAATCAGGAGGAAGTTGGTGCTGTTTAAAATATGATATTGAATTGTAGAATAAAAATTAAAAATATCAAAATTGGAAGAATGTCAGCTAGTGAGTATTATACCAGTGTAACCTAGATTGTATAAGTACCTGACTGTAAGTAACCTCCTTAAACCAAACCTTTTCTTCTTTGGACCTATCCCACAAATACAATTTTCTCCTGATTTTTTCTTGTTACTACTTGAGTCTGTAGTCCTTGTTGTATTCATCCATCTCATTCTCTGATTTTCCTGAACTACCCACTCATAAAATTCTCTAATTTTTTAAAAGGAAAATTATATGTATGTATGTATCCACATACACATATATGTGAATTATTTATTCTTAGGAACCAAAGAATGAAATACAAAATGGGCTATATGTCTCTAAATCTTAATCATAAGAAATGTAAGATTCATAAAATGCTTTCATTTTTTCCTATTTTAGAAGATTACAGGATGAAGAGGACCAGGAAGATCAAAGATAAACACTTGCAGAAAGTAATATTTATCAATAATAAAACATTGACTAGAGAGGAAGAGAAAGTTTTTGAAAAATCATTTATTCTACATGTGAGTCCTATTTCTTCAACAAAAATGCCTTGTAAATGTGACTCATGGGGAATGAATTTGCAAAATCTTTCTGAATTTATTGTTAATAATAGAAACTATTCAGCACAGAAAGTTGTATGTGAGAATTTGCCTTTCAGTATTAAATTTGAGAGAACTCATACTAGAGAAAAATTTTATGAATATAATAAAAACATGAAAGCTCTCACTGATAAGGAAGATCTTCCTGATCATCAAAAATTTCAGGCTTTGGAGCAAGCTTTTGAAAGTAATCAATTTGGAAATAACTTCTTTGATGAGGCTGCTTGTATTATACGTAAGAGTTCTCACACAGGAAAGAAATCCCATAAAGATGATGAATATAGGATAAACTGTGATGAAACAACTATATTTGGTCACAAGAGAACTGGTATAGGGGAGAAAAGTTCTAATCTTAGCCAGTGTGGGAAATCCTTCTGTGAGAAGCCAGGTGTTATGGAATACCATAAAGTTCATATGGCTGTGAAATACAATGAATGCTGTGAAAGTGGAAATAATTTCAGCAGAAACTCACACTTCACTCAACTTCAGAGAACTGTCACAGGAGAGAATCCATTTGTACATAATGGCAGAACACAAACTGGGGATAAATCCTTTGAATATGATAAAAATGGGAACTCCTGCCCAACATCAGTCCACAAAATACACCAGAGAACTCACTCAGAGGTAAAACCCTATAAATGTAATGCATGTGGAAAATCCTTCTGTCAAAAAGGACATCTCATTCAACATCAGAGAACTCACACAGGAGAGAAACCATTTGAATGTAATGAATGTGGGAAAACTTTCTCCCAGAAGTCCCACCTCAGTACACATCAGAGAATTCACACAGCAGAGAAACCCTATCAGTGTAATGAATGTGGGAAAACTTTTGTCCAGAAGTCAACCCTCCGAGGACATCAGAGGATTCACACGGGGGAGAAACCCTATGAATGTAGTGAATGTGGGAAAACTTTTGTTCAGAAGTCAACTCTCAGAGATCATCGTAGAATTCACACAGGGGAGAAGTCCTTTCAGTGTAATGAATGTGGGAAAACATTTGGTCAGAAATCAAACCTCAGAATACATCAGAGAACTCACAGTGGGGAGAAATCTTATCAATGTAATGAATGTGAAAAATCCTTTTGGCGAAAAGACCATCTGATTCAACACCAAAAAACTCACACAGGAGAGAAACCATTTAAATGTAATGAATGTGGGAAAACTTTTGCCCGGACATCAACCCTAAGAGTACATCAGAGAATTCACACAGGGGAGAAGCCATTTAAATGTAATGATTGTGGAAAAGAATTTGTCCGGAAAGCAATCCTTGGTGATCATCAGAGAATTCATACAGGCGAGAAACCCTTTCAGTGTAATAAATGTGGGAAAACTTTTGGGCAGAAGTCAAACCTCAGAATACATCAGAGAACTCACAATGGGGAGAAATCTTATGAATGTAATGACTGTGGGAAATAACAGCAGTGAATCCAAAATGTGTCCCGGGGAATTCAAGGAAGGGTAAAACCCTCTTGTTGTAATAAATGTGGAAAATCCTTTTAACAAAAAGACCACCTCATTTGACATCAGAGAACTTACATAGAGGAGAATGGACTGAATATAGGGAAACTGTCTTAGAAGTGTATGCTCCCAGTAGGGGAGAAAATTCACATGATAGAGAAAACCCTATGAATATAGTGACTGTAGAAAGAATTATGTCTAAAGGAAACCCTTAAGAGTGTATCACAGTGTTCTATTTTAAGGTTACTATAGAAAGTCCTTCAAAGAAAGTGATATACTATTCAGTAACTTGCATGTATCACATAGGCCAGTAATTTGTTCACCAGTAGCCATTTCATTTTGTTCTAGGCGCATAGCTCGTTTAAAGTTCAAATTTCTCTTGCATCCAAGTAGGACTGTGTAACTGACTAGTGAAATGTGGGTGCCAGTGATGTATGTTACACCCAGGCCTAGCAAATAAAGATTTCCCTCACAAATTTCCAAGGCTCTGTCAGAGTAAAATGGCAATGACTTCAGGACAATTTTGGGTGCCATTTATTGACATGTATCGATACAAGATGAAAGCAGCCAGGGTCTCTGAATAAATATGTGGAGTAGAATTCTTTTCTAGAGCTGCACTAGTTGAACATTTTTTGAGCAAAAAAATACCTTCTATTGAGCTGTAATGTGCTTAAATCTATTTGTTACTGCCCATAATTTAGCTATCCCTGTGCTATGGGGACATAAAATAGCTTCATGAGCCATGCTTGAGTTGGGCACAAACCTTATTGGGGTTGCTGAGTGAAAGGGTCCTTCCAAGATCAGAGAATGCATGCAGGAAATATACTTTCTATGTAGTTAAATAGTACCAGTAATGATGACATTGCCACTTGATAAAGGATTTTTGATGGACCTGAACAAGTTTGGTGTTTTTTTTTGAATAGTCAACAGCCACCATGCAGCTCTAAACCAAAACTAATTGCGCCTTGCTTAACGGCAAGAAGCTACTGTCCCTCCATGCTTCCTGATACCTCTGTATATCCAAAACTTAGATGCCTTAAGAAGAAAGATACCCCTCTGTCTCCAAGGATGACTAAGGGGCATTGGGACCCACCAATTATGCTGGGAAATTTTAGGGGGAAGGAAAAGAATGAAACTTTGATGGCTTGTCTGGAATTGTATGCCCAAGTCAAACATCTCACCTGTTCCTATGAAGACAAGGATATGTGAATTCAGCTAATGGGATTTAGGCATTTCCATGACCATATGGATTAAGCCTTTTTGGACAGTACAGTTTACTGTGATTGCTTCTGAAACCATGGTAGGAATTAATATGTTACTTGCTCTATTTCTTCCTGTAAGTTGTAGAGGGCATCCTCCTAATCAGGAAGAGTAGCATGTAAAGAAATACTTTTGAGCTATCATAGCCCTGATAAGCATTTTGAGTTTCAAGTCTCTGTGACTGGTGATTTAGTTGATGGGAACCTCTGGTAAAAGAAAGACATGAAGGGTGTGGTTTTATTTGATTCCCTGACAGGCCTACTAGGTATACTCCTGGAATCCAACTATTTAGCTTACTCTTGGACTGTTTTAGACATTAAACACTTGGCTCACCAAGGCCTCTAGCCTCATATTCCAATTTTTAGGTTTGTCACGTGGATTCAGTGATTAACAAGGTAGGAAGGAACCAACAACCCTTGGTTGTAAAATGGTTCAGCAGTACAGCTGTCCTAGCTATGCATGCAAAAGTAACACTATCCCTTTGAGGGAAATTTTGAGGGGATCCCACTTCCTTCCCTGAAACAAAGCCATCAACTAAGTTGAAACCATGAGATCCTGTGACTGTTCAACCTCAGTGCCAGTTCTCAGAACCAAAAGTGGATGTGATTGAACTCTTCTCAGGCAGAACACAAGGGTGTTCCTGGCTCTGGCCAATACTCCCCTTGATGAACATTGTTATATTTTTATTGATTCTTAGATTCTTGCCCGTGGCCTAGCTGTTTGGGGCTGCCAGTTGGAAAATTACAGACTGACAGATAAGCACCTTTATGGGGGGCTAAGAACTATGTAAATATATCATGGCTACTTGGCATACTGTCTGAGTCACTCAGATGGTAAGAGACTGTTCTGTGAGGAGAGAATCAGTCTGCTGATTGAGCATTCACTCCCCAGATTGCCGGTGTTGCTATCTGGAGCCACTGTTGCACTGGTATGGCCAAACCTCCACCACTTTAGATTGGGTACAATGTAAAGGTCTCCATATATCTGATACTTCCTTTTAGCCATAATGATATCAGAATCTACCATTTTTTCCTTCCAGATAAATAAGCAGTGATCAACAGACCATTTAATTAATTTACCCCTTTTCCTCTGATTTAAAATAAGCTCTGATGGTGTAGTGCCTAAAGCATTTGACTGCTAACCAGAAGGCTGGTGGTTCAAACCCACCAACCACTCCTGGAAAGGAAGACTGGGTAATCTACTTCTGTAGAGATGTTGTTGTTGTTGTTATTTGCCATCGAGTCGGCCCCGACTCATAGCAACCCCTCCGTGGGTTTCCGAGGCAGTATCACTACGGAAGTAGGATTGCCCAACCTTCAGAGATAGCACCCTGGAAACCCAAGGAGGGGTTGCTGTGAGTCAGAATTGACTTGACAACAGTGAGTTTGGTTTCATTTTTTTTTATTCCTAATTTAAAATATTTTAAATATGGCTGCTTGTTACCCTTTCCCCCATTCTTCTAGTAACAGATCCTCCCTTTGTAACAACAAGGCTGGTACACTGCTCATATGGACCAAAATAGTCCATCCTGATGTGATATGGAGTGTTTTAAAGAAGGATATTTGAATAAATTTAGAAAATGAGAAAACTTCTAGCATTTTGGAAATCATAAGACATCACAGACGAGTTAGTTTGTGACCCTAGAGCAGCCAGCAATCTTGCCAAGAAAATACATCTAAAATAGGGGAAAGTAAAGTTACTCGTACTGAGAAGCAGATATGACAAGCAGACTTAGGGTATGCAAGTCTAGTTAGTGTTGGACCCCTTGAGAATCAAAACACTATTTTAATTACTCTGTTTCTGTAATACTTGGTGATTAAAAGCAAGTCTTTCATTCTTTTGAAACAATTGTCATTGTTTTTTCCAGCACCTTTTATGAAAAAAGATAACCTGGAATCGTCACCTTGCCCTTTTTAAAGGAATATTATTTGAATTTGATATTAAATTCAGGGCTAGGTAACCAACAGGATTGAAGCAGTTCACCCAGGTGGCCTGAGTCATTCATTGGTAACCAGGTGACAAAGCCACATGACTGGGCATTCAGGTTTAACTTCTCTTCCTTTGCTGGGGTAAGATCACAACACACCTGTCCATATAGCACATCTCCAGCTGGAAGCCATGGTCTGTTCTAATGATGAATTCATTCCACTCCCTGACTGGTTGTTCCTTCTTAATGTGTCATGGTCTTTTATTCCAGCAGATGGATGCCTCAGACCCTATAGGAGATAATTTCCTGTCTACATGCCTACTAAGGGTCTTCAACCTAATAAAGGTAGAAGACAAGCCTCCATGAAGGCAGCTGGGTTTGTTTTGTTCAGAATGTATCACAAGCATATAAAACAATGCCTCTGTGTATTAGGCAAAAATATTTGTTGAATGTACAATTATAAAAGTGAAATTCAAACACGTTTTTCCTTTTATCACTGCAGAGTATCTTTCCAGGTGATGCGTCATTGATTATAGTTGATACTGCTTCCCACTTGTCTTGATTTTTTAGTATTGTTTTAACAGAAGTACTGTTTAGTGGATGGCTTTAATAAACAGGAATTTATTCTTTTACAGTTTAGAAGCCCAAATTCAGAGTACCACCTCTAGGGGCTAGATAAGGACCCTCGACCTTGGGCTTCAGCTCTGCCTCTTGTTCCAGGCCCAGTGGAGCAAGCTAGAAGCTTCTGACTCATGCAGCTGTTGGCTGCTGAGGGTGATGAACCCACAGTCAACAGGTAAAATGGCACAATCCCAGGATCAGCAGGCACACAGCAGACCACTGGTTCAAGTCCAGGAACAATCCCAAGGTCAGACAACACAGCAGGCCAGTTGTTAAAGTCCAGGAACTGAAGATGAAGGTTTGGCCAAATGCAGGATCCAAGTGTGCCAAAAAGCTAGTGACCTTCCTCAAAGCTTCTCCATATATATTGGAAACAGGACACAGCCCCGAAGACAACTACTTAGCTGCTCACCACAGATTCCACCATGGAGGTGATTATAATCTCTTCATGGGGAATAACTACATCCACCTGCCAAGCCACAATGTTTTAGATATTTTCTAAACTTGTGAAACTTTTTACTTGTTCTTAATATACAGTAGTATATGGTGCTCATCTTCAAATATTTGTCAACCATGACGATTCATTTTAAATAAAGAGTCCTAGTTCAAATTTATGTCTATATATGTAATCAGTTTTTCATTAGCATTGTTGATGTGATTGATCTATTTTTGCTTTGCTTCCACACACATATTTTAAGTACCAATCCAAGCAATTTTATAAAACCATAACAATGGTAAAATCAGATTGCTAACATTAACCGAATGTGCAAGCAGAGTACTTGGTTGCTGGAATCATCCCTTGAATTCATTTTACAAGTAGTTCCCCTTACTTTTACTTCCAAATCATGCTCTTGGCAGTTTCAAGGAATTAGGTTGTTATTTTGTCAGGTTAGAGAAGCTAGTCTCTGAGAGCGTATCTGACCCCCAAAGAAAGGGCAACACACCCTTATGGTTCCTACATGTTTTCCTTTCTTTGCCAAGTATATAATGCCTTTTCTGTCATATTAAAAATCTCCCTAGAATCCCATGAGAAATAATATATTCTATACTTCTACCAGAAAATCTTTACACAATGATGGGGGAGAAAAAAATCTGTGTTTTTGTATCTAGATATCACAGTTGCCAACTAGCATTAGCCTGTGGGCAAATTGACTATTTCCATGATCTTCCAGTGTTCTAACAGAACAAACTGCCCAACTGACAGAACAAGAATAATTAGCTTACCTTCTGCTGA